GTAAGAATCTGGTTAGATACCATATTTCTAAGATTTTCAGGGCCGAGTACAATAACCTCAGTTTGATCTGAATTTAGAAGTTATGTTATGCCTTCTAATGTTACTGTCTCAGGGAAGCATGTATAATGTAGACATTTACTCGCCGGGACCGCATACTCATTTTAGGTTTGACAGCATTTCTAGTAAACAATGAGAGAAAGAAAACACAAACGAACAGCTTGTAGTGGGGGAGAGGGGGGTCATGTATAGACAAAGAAGGGGTGTGTGTGAAGGTCCTGCTCCTGAAATTCAGAAAAATGATCTCCAAGAACTAGCCCTAGCAATGAACCCTGTGAAACTCCATATCAGTTTGGATCAGTTTGGTGGTGAGGATGTCTGGTATTAAGGTGTTGAAGGCTGAGCTGTAGTCAAAGAAGAGCATCCTCATGTAGTGCTTCCTGTTCTCCAAATGGCTCAGCGCTCTCTGAAGGGTGATGGGAACAACATACTCTATGGACTAATTTGACAGCAAGCAAACTGGTGGGGGTCAAGGGAGGGGGTACAGTCTCTGATTGGCTGAGACCCTATCCGCTCAAAACACTTTATGACTAGTCTACATATGCACGCCTCAATTTCTTCTTTCTTATTCTTATGGATAAAGCATGAGGAGAGCGGAAGAGCGAGGAAAAGGAGACTAAACGGTGCTTCATTTCTCCTCTTCCTCTCTACTCATGTTTCATTCAGTTATCTCATGGCCTTCCACTCAGAGATCAAGGAGTGAGGGCTCAAGCAAGCATGCTGAAACTGAATATTGACAAAGATGATGACAAAGTCTCACTGTAGGAGATTTGTTAGCTGTAAGTGTAGTTTGTACGTCTTGTTCTGCAGTTTGTGTAAAAAGAAAGGTGATAGGACCTTTAGCTAACACAAACTGTAACACAAACTGCGATTTAAATAAGCAAAGGCTTTGCTCCATGATGGCATGTCTTCCACTTCATCACACCGCTCATCTTTCCCTCTCATTGCACTTTAGGTTTATTTGAGGCTGCTGTCCTCTTTCCTTACCCGGTGACAGTCTCCTCCTGACAGGACCTCCTGGATGAAGACTGCAGGGCCGTCAGGCCTGTTGGAACCTCCTCCAATGGTGATGCCTAAACTGCCGGATCGTGCTATTGAAATAAGTTGAATCACCCCTTCACCTGGATGACTAAGAACACAAAGACACAGATAATCAATTCTGGAAGTTAGGAAAAGGGGTCTGTGGTACACCTCAACTTACAGGACCTGCTTCTAACAACTGGGTGGAAGACAAGAACTAAAATTGCGTCCAGTGTTACTGGCAACTCGGAGGGTTTTTATTTAGCTTGAGTCCACACCTATAGCCAATTTAGAATGAGATCAACCTAACGTATATGCCTTTGGACAGAAACACAGGGAAATGATGCAAATAACACAATAAAGGCTGATCGCAAGATTCAAGAGTGGATAATGGCAGAAGTAGTTCCATGGTTAAGAAAAACAGCTTAACATAGTTCAGGGACTCACTCGAGGATTTAGGTGTATCATTGGCAACAGCGTACAATCAAGAGATGAATGAATGAAATACAACAAGGTGCAAACCACAGGTTACACTCAGAACTGGAGGCCAGATTAGACTTTGACAGAAACAAGACTTTGCTCTCGAAATGGGAAAACAATGTCTTTGGACAGATGAAACCAGGATGAACTCTGATCACAACGTTTGAAGGAGAACAGAAAGGAGAACATGATCCAAAGAACATGTGTCCATCATGGCAGTGGCAGTTAGAGCATTGGTATACATCAGAGTCAAAGCTTTGTTGTCAAACACCATACGTACA